AATGTCGAGTGATCTGTAACAATGTGAGACTAAGCGTCGTTTGCGCGAAAGGCATGAAAAGAGTCACTTATTCTTACTGAACAACGGATCAACATCATGGCACACGGAAAGTAAACCTCAAGTGCTCCGTTCTACTTCTAATACAAGTCTGAGTTCGAAAAAAGTCAGCACAGTGCACGAGCTCAGTAGCACCGGCAATGATCCTGAAATACTTTGTGTAGATTATTAATTCCAAATTTTGCCCGGGCAGGCCGTTAGGCTACTCTTTTCGATTTCCAACTGCCAGGGGATTTTTTAAGTAGGAAACAATACACACGGGCTTTCGATCTCACTACCCAGAGACAGGGAAAATTACTAGAAATCCACGTGGAAAAAATCCTAGCTTTCACCAAAGTCTCACCCCGGGACCCCAGCACTCGAGACCACACAGCCCCCGTCACTTACTCAAGTTCGATCACTAAGGTTGGAAATTCACCAGCGAATGGAGGTGCATGCAGTATGGTGCGGCATGCCTGTTAGTCCATCAAGAGAATGAGTGGAGTATGGAGTTTCAAAACGGCGTGACTTCTATGACAAACTGTTCACCACCAGATAATGCACCCCGAGCAGGGCACCCAGTGTCGATTGCTGGACTGTCAGGAATGCTTTGCAATAATGAACCTTCATTCACCGATGAATTTCTCCAGGTGTCACCCCTTTACTGATTTTAAAAAAAAAAAACGGAAAACAGAATGCTGCTCCTCTCTGGTGCATGTCACAAGTGGGGTGGCCATCTTTAAAACTGTTATTATGACGTCACCGTATTCGTCTGTACCTTAAAACACACAAAATACAGATGGGTTACAAAACAATGGGTTGGTTGCTGTCATTTCTATCACACTTTCAAGGGTTTCATTTGAAACTCCTTTGTAATATATACAGAGACTGCAGTGAATGAGCTGCAAAAGATACAAATGCATACGTACAACATATAATGATTCAATATAAACAAAAAGAGGGTGTAGCGACTAGATGCTCGCCTGCAGATCAGAAGATCGTGGGTTCCATGTCCTGACGGAGCAGCACTTTTTTTTTCAATGACGACTCCCAGGGCGACGCAGCCCTCAATGGGTACCAGGTAGTTCTGGAAAGTAAAGGCGGCCGGCGTGATGTTGACCACATCACCCACCAAGTGCCTATTGGTCTATAACATATGGGTCTAGCCCTATATGCCCAATACGCTTGAAGGCGAGGAAAAGGGTCCTTTGCTCACATAAACAAAAGTGTGCAAATACTTATTTTCGTTCCACGGGCCAATGTTTTCAAATGTCAAGCTGTATAAGGTCTGTAGTGTGACTCATACCCTCCACTGATCCACACAGCGTGGTTTCCATTGAAATACAAAATAGCCAGAACAGTTACCTATCTGCTGCATGCACAGAGCGGGTCTGCTGCATATGTTCACAATTTTGTGGTCCCTAACTGCATGGAAACACATACACACAAGTACCAATACAAGCAACAGGATGTGAACTATGAGACAGAGTTTATTGAGGAAAACCATATTTATCAATGGATTACCATGTCAAACATAATGTAGCACTTCATAGTTTATATACATGGTAGGGAGTAGCAAAAGATTACATATGTCGAAAACACTGAGGCTGGGTGAAATCATGAAGTGAAACAATACTAAAAATAAGTAAGTAAAAGTAAAGGTCTTCTTTCCACGCCTTTAGGCGTACAGGGCATAAAGCGCTATATTTTAATAGACTAATCGGCACAAGATGGGTGAGGTAGTCAGCATCACAACAGCCGCTTTTACTTCCCGGGACTGCACCCAGTACCCACTCAAGGCTGGGTCGACCTGAGAGTTAAGGTCATTTTTTGAAAAAAGTCTGGCTCCGCCAGGGAGCGAACCCACAACCTTCCAATCCGCAAGCAAGCATCTAGCTGCTACGCCATGGCGACTACCAATACTAAAAATACTACATATATATATATATATATATATATATATATATATATATATATATATATATATATATATATATATATATATATATATATATATATATATATATATATATATATATATATATATGTGCGATGTACTGTGCTGTGTGGAGTAGGAACATCAGGAAAGGAATGAGAATAAAGGAAGAAATTATGCAGAAAGGATGAGAGCTGAGTGTCTGAGAAGAAACATATTAAAAAGAAATACTGACAATAATGGTCCTGAAATCTCATACTATATTTGTGGAAGACTTCCCATAACTCAGGTGGATCTTGCTAGTCACACTCGCCATCGCCATGGGCTGTGAGTCCCATACCTATTCATGCAATATAACACTATCATCTGAAAAGACGGAAAGGTGCCAATCACTCAGTCATACATGTAGTTCTATATCCTTTTTAGTCTTGCAAGTTGTGGTAAACCCATTCAAGCATATACTGATTGTTTGTGAGTTTACTAGGCAATGTTACACTCTGTAGTTTGTCACTGCTTTCAGAACCAGAAAACTCTTTTCCCATTGTTAAAATCAACACCAAATGTCTTGCAGCCTACTTCGCAACCTGATATGTTGGGACTGTTAAACTGTATACACAACCCCTAAGCTTCAGATACACACACATATATATGTGTATGTATATGTATATTAATAATATATATATATATATAGTGCTAAAATGTGCTCCACAATACACACAAGTAGTGCCAAGGATGAGATGTTTGTCTGAACTCAAGAGGTACAATCTATTTAACAAATTGAATACATAGAACAACAAAAATATGGTGTACTCCTCTATACACAGATCAAACATTGGCTTAATCTAAATATTATGACTTATTCTAACTATGACATAAACATTATAAAAACTACATGTTTCTATTGAAGAATATGTGGTCAAACGAAGAAGCTTTTCCTTAAAGTAAATGAAAAAAATGACAATGAAGTTATAATTATATATAAATATTTATTCATAGTAAAAAATGAACAAAAACAGTTACTAGGAAATTGTAAATGTTGTATGACAATGAATGTTTAGACGACAAACATTTAGTCTAGGTCCCATAAATGTTGGTATGGAAAGTTGGATGGAATGGAAAAGGAGGGGGGGGGGAAATCACATGTAAAATACATTTCCTATACCCACATGGACAAAAGTGAAGCTGGTGTAAGTTCTGAAATCATTTCTTGCATCTCACCTAAACTTGAATAAGTGGTTTCATCTATTATTGTGCAGCACATGGACAAATACTGAAACTCACATTCTTGGTTTCATTATTTTATGTACCTAGTATGTGTACAACTGAAACCTGTATAACATGTTTAATAATTACCTGTGTCCAACATGCATAAAACTCAAATTTTTGTTAAGTTTTTTCATCATTTCTTGCACCTCACATAGATAATACTTAAACCATTATAAATTTTTCAAGCATGTCTTGTATTTTCTATGGATAAATCTTAAACTTGTGAAAGTTGTTCACGTTTTTTTTTTTTTTTTTTTTTGCATTTCTCATGGATAAAACTTAAATCTGAATAAGTTGTTAAATTTTGTTCTCATACTTCACATAAATCAAACTAACATATATAAGTGCTAAAATCATTTGTTCGACCTCACTTAGATAAAACTGAAACTCGTGTAAGCTGTTTTGTAATTTCTTTTAACTCACATAGATAAAACTTAAACCCTTGTCATCTATTTTATCACGGATAAAAATGAAACCCTAGTTAAGTTGTATCTACATGTCTCTCAAACTTGGAACATCTGGAAACTAATACCCCGGCGCTCCTTTGATTTATTCCCCAAAATGGCGGCATGCCACATTCTGGCCATAAAATATCCAAAAATATCCGAACGACGGTGTTCGCGTTTATCTAAAATACGGACTATCTGCCAAGAAACAAATCGCGGCAAAACTAGGATTACTTGACAATCAATGTCAACATTTGCACACGGTACTAGTAGCAGACGATAAATACCGACCGTTGACAACAATTTCGAGCGTTTCTGCAGAGACGATACTAGCAGACGATATTAGTTGACCAATTTCGAGACATTACAGACGATGAACGCACATGAGCAATACTGTGTTCTTCCGATTGGAGGATTTAGCAGCGGTACATGTCAGACTTGTCGGCATGCGCCAAACGCGATTAAACTCATCGCCGAGCGTATTCCCCGCGCTAGGTGCCTGGGACTCACGAGAACAGTAATTGGAGGAAGTTGCAGGAGATGCGGTAGCTGCCGCTCGTGAGTCCCAGCCATCTAGTTTAGTCCCCATCCGCGCCGCGCGTAATGGCGCGGGGGATACGCTCAGCGGTGAGGCACACTCGCAGAAGCAGGTCGGCAAGTAGCGTATCGCCGATACTTGATCTTCTGACATTAGAATTAATAGCTTTTAAAATGGATTTTCCATCACAATCATTTTTTTTAAAAACACCTCCTAGAACCGACCTTTAGTCTCAATTACTTAGAAACTAATAGCCTCAAAAAAAAAAAAAAAAAAAAATAGACCTTCCATTACAATCACTTACAACTATTAGCCCCAAAATATGGATCTTTTGTAACAATCACGCGAAAATAATATCCCCAGACACAGACTGCCCATGAAAATCACTGAGAACTAAAAACTTAAAACAAAACAAAAAACAAAAAAACTGAAATTCTGTCACACTCACTTGAAACTAATATTTTGATCTTCCAACACAATCACATAAAAGTCATTCAGATACGCCTGACTCAAAAATGGAACCTTCATCAAAATTACTTAGTTATAAAAGCCTCTTTTAAAAAAAACGGACCTGCCATCATCTTGAAGTTATTACTCTCAACCAGATACTGTTTGTACTGTATATGTGTATGTGCAGAGGCTCTAGAAATGTGACCTAACAGGCAATAAGGCCAGGACCCAACACAATTCTGGAACCAATGTATGTTTTTTAATTATCTAACACATTAATCATTTCTTATTCTCATCATATCCAATAGCAGCTTCTTCATTTATACCATTATTTAGTTTCTTGCTCTTCTTCCTCCTTGCCATCGTAAGTTCCTTCGTGCTTGTACCCTGTGACATACCCAGTTTCATCGACCAGATTCTTCCTGCCAGCAATTCCTTTTCCTTTGCCTGTATCGTCAAACCTTTCCTTGTGGGAACCTGTGTAGCTCTTGGTATCCGTTAAGCGGGCTGTCACTGCATCTACTTTGACTGCCTGTAATGAATGTACATTTTAAAGTCAGTTTTTAGTTATGCAAGTGTCGCTGTGCTGTGTTATTCAAAGATTTCTTTCTATGCTGTTAGTTCAGTGAAAATAGCATTAACTGGGAAAAGGTAATGTTTCACTACCCAGATATTGCCCATATACACCCTAGCTCACTTCTAATTGGTAGGCCTTGAGCCATGTGACATTGGCATAAGGCTACGGGAGTGTTCAGCAATGCAGCTGTTATCGCGTGTTGTATATTTCAGCACGCCAGCGCTTTTAAGACTTCAAAAACATAGACAAACTGGATCTAACAGAACTCCCCCCCCCCCTCCCCCCCCCCCCCCCGAGAGTGTTGCAACCTATGTCACAGACATTCTCCTTCTCAGAACAAAAATGTAAATGCAAGACATCCCAGAAAGCAAACAACAGAGCGGCACACCCGTAACCTGCAGTAAAGTAGACCAGCCCAACAAACTTGTGAATGAAACGTAACCTATGTTGTTTGGGGAGACTAATTTAAACCTAACCATTAATTGTAACTATTGCTACCACTAGCTGTAGTATAAGTGTGATGACCCTGCTTTGCATGGTCTCCACGAGTACACAGTGGCAAGCAGGAAGTCCGTGCTACAAGTGACGGCACGAGATACTTGTGGCCGGTGGAGTAAGCGAGGGGAAGCCCGAGCTAGCCTCGCGGTCAGTCGATCATGAGAAGTCAAAGAAGACGGTTGTAGTAATTGAAGATGTCGTCTTTATGTCGCGAGTGATAAAGTGTGAATAATGTTTGAACATGTGAAATAAATGGACCAGAATAAACTGACAGAATGTACAAAGGAGCCGAGTGGCGTTTGTGTTGTCAACCCTAGATGTTAAAGTCGGTGCAAACCAAGGTACATTCCAAGTCAAACCAAGGTTCATTCCAATAAGCAATAGCAGTAGAAGTTATAAGCATAGTATAAGTAGGAGTAGTCATAGCTTTTTTTACCAGGTGGTATATAATGATATGTGGACTTTTTTTTTTCAAAAATGACCTTGACTCCCAGGTTGACCCAGCCTTAAGTGCTGACCACATCGCAGAGCCGATTAGTCTATAAAAATATAGGTCTAGCCCTATATTCCCAATACCCCCAAAGGCCTGGAAAAGGGATCTGTAGTATTGGAACCTGTTTTTAGTCATAATTCTTTGTTAGTTTCACTGTAATAGTCACTTTGTGGTGAGTACCAGCCCCTTTTATTACATTAAAAAAGCCTTGGTAGTTGTACTGTTATTATTACAGCTTTACTGGCAGTAGTGGTGATGGTAGTAGTAACAGTCATCATCATCATCAGGCACCTTGCCGACTGGCGTGGGCGATCATGCCTATCAGCAATTGGCAATCTGCAGCATGTACCAGTTTGTGTGCTGACACACCTCCATGCCATGCAACAAGGCTGTTAAGAATCTTCTCTCGTTGTCTCATAGTAATAGTGGCACTGCTATACTAGTAGCAGTATTAGTAGTTGTGACAGTACTGGCAGCAGCAGTAGTAGTTATAACAGTTGTTGTATCTCAGTTAGCAGTAGTAGTAATAGTGGTACTACTCTTATACTAGTAATAGTGGTGGTAGCAGTAACAGGTAGCAGTAGTAGTTATAACAGTTGTTGTATCTCTGGTAGCAGTAGTAGTAATAGTGGTACTACTCTTATACTAGTAATAGTGGTGGTAGCAGTAACAGGTAGCAGTAGTAGGAGGTATTAGGAGGAAGTAGTAGTATTACTGTTCTTACTACTGTTATACTAGTAGTAGTTATGGTAGCAGTAACAGGTAGCAGTAGTAGTTATAACAGTTGTTGTATCTCTGGTAGCAGTAGTAGTAATAGTGGTACTACTCTTATACTAGTAATAGTGGTGGTAGCAGTAACAAGTAGCAGTAGTAGGAGGTATTAGGAGGAAGTAGTAGTATTACTGTTCTTACTACTGTTATACTAGTAGTAGTTGTGGTAGCAGTAACAGGTAGCGGTAGAAGGAGATATTAGGAGGAAGTATTAGTATTACTGTTCTTACTACTGTTATACTACTAGAAGTAGTGGTGGTGATAGTTGTATTACGGTTCTTACTGCTGTTATACTACTAGTAGTAGTGGTGGTAGGGGTATTACTGTTCTTGCTGCTGTTATACTACTAGTAGTAGTGATGGTAGTGGTATTACTGTTCTTACTGCTGTTATACTAGTAGTAGTGGTGGTGGTAGTGGTATTACTGTTCTTACTGCTGTTATACTAGTAGTAGTGGTGGTAGTAGTATTACTGTTCTTACTGCTGTTATACTAATAGTAGTGGTGGTAGTGGTATTACTGTTCTTACTGCTGTTATACTAGTAGTAGTGGTGGTAGTGGTATTACTGTTCTTACTGCTGTTATACTAGTAGTAGTAGTGGTATTTCTGTTCTTACTGCTGTTATACTAGTAGTAGTGTTGGTAGTAGTAGGCTGTAGTAGAAGGTTGTAGTAGAAGGTTGTATTAGAAGGTTGTAGTAGAAGGTTGTAGTAGAGGGTTGTAGTATTAGTAGCACCAGCAGCAGCAGTGGTAGTTTTAGTAAACAAAAGAGCTAAAAAATATGGGAGATCATGGTGGAATGAGAAGAAGTTACAAAATATACCTTTGGTTTTTCATCTGATTTTGCTGCAATTTTTTCTCTAAGTTCTTCAGCAAGTGCGACCACCTCGCTATCCACTAAATCTGGTCTTTTGGTCAATTTCTTCTTGTTCTGGATGACAGTAGCCGCCAATTCCGTGAGAAAATCGCCCAGGAAAACGTCCAGGTGGAGTTTCTTCCTGAAACAAATAATACAATTATAAAGCATGTATGCTGTCTTCTCCTTTTTCTCGTTTTTCTTCTTCTTCAACATTCCGAGCTCTTGAGGTTCACTGCTGCGGATATCATCCAACTCCATTCATTTCTCTGTTTGGCCTTCTTTTTTCAGTTGGTGACTCCAAGTATTTGTTATTAGCCTGTGTGTATATTATCTCTTCAGCGGCTTCTTCATCTGTCTCTTGGTATTTTCCCAGTCAACTCTTTTGTGTACTCATATTTTTCACCCCTCTGTTACATGTTAACCTTCCTGCTGAAGGCCCCAACAGTTGCAATCTATTGCAGCGCCCTCACCCCGCTGTGATGCCTGTAATTATTAAACAGATTATCAATCTCACTGTTGCTTCTCTCGCAGTGCTCAGTTTGTATGGGGGAAACACTGGGGTTATACAAATCTGGTGCAAGTTTGATCCATTTATAACTGGGGTAAATCCGATTCTAGAGCTGAGGACGGTTGCGGATTTGAAAGCGCGAATCTTTCCTGCGGCAATAGGAGGATGTTAGTTATTGATGTTTTATAACCATTGCAGAACAAAAGTCGAAATTTTTATATTGAAATGTTTCAGAGACATCGCTGGTACCTAAGAGTTCAGACATCTAAGAATTGTGTTAGGATGATATCCTGCTCCCCATTCTCAACAATGTATGAATGGAGTATGCGCTTCTCCGTCTCCGAGCGACGTGTCGACGTTTTCTTTCATGTATTTGTTTATTCGTGCCATATTCCTCTTTTCTTCGTCTTCTTCTACTCGTCGTCCCCCCCCCCTCGCCCAGTGGAGCATATGCTTTCAACAAACTCACGCCTAGTCGTTCTATCTTTCGCTATTGCATACCCCTCACCCCATATCCTTCCTATCTTCACTTTCTGTAGGTAGGGCCTTTGCAGGAGAAAAAATCGTCACGTTCAAACAGCATCCCCTGACAGGGGAGCTTTAGGTTATAATTGTGACCAGATTATGTGCGACACATAAAATGGTCCAGCATTTGCACGCCACCAAGAGCATTGAAAAGGACCCCTGCAGTGTTGATGCGATCTAAGGAGACAGACCCAAATACTGTCCCTACCAGCGACGAAGTCGTCTACTGGCAAGCCAATGGGCGACCCCGTCACCGATGTGAAGCCTTTCTGTGTGTGTAGGTTTTATTTGTGTGTGTGTAAGAGAGAGAGAGAGAGAGATAGTATGTGTGTGTCTTTATTTCTATACCCATGTGGCTTCCAGTGCAGCGACATTCTAGGTAAATTGTTTACATGTTTTCTCAACGGATATCCTCATCTAGAGTGACCATAAGTCCCGTTTTCACCGGGACAGTCCCGCTTTTTTAAGGAGTGACCCGGCCAGTCCCCTCGAATGAGCCAATTGTCCCGTTGTATACAAATCCAAGAATAAGCTCGGGAAAACAACACACACGTGTAGTTAGTTATGTTTGTAGATTTTAACAGATCTAATCGTTTTAGATGCTTTTGCTGCTTTATTTTCTGGCGGTATGCAGTACCTGCACTTTTATATAGCCATTTTGTCTGCGTTACTAAATTAGACATTTTAGGACGAGTTAAAGTTAGTTGCGTATCCTTTATAGGACGTTGCAGAACCAACCCCAGCATCTTTTTTTGTTTTGTTGCTGTTGTGGTTTTTCTAGGCAAATTAAGTATTTTTTCATTACCACTGAACGCTCGGGGCTTGGTACCACTGTCGAAACCAAGACTAAGGCAAGACATATCGTCCACAGCTGGGATCGAACCCGGCACCCTGGTATTACGAAGCGCGTTCGCAACGCGTCAGCTGCAGAGGCCGACGAGTACTGGTACCTTTTTCAGATACTCTGTGGCAAGTACTGGTAAATATTTTTTTTTAATAGAAAACAGAGCCCTGGATACTTTTAATGCTTGAGTTTTTTGGAGAACATTTTCGCTGCTAGAAAAAAAAAAAAGGTGGAGCAGTATAAACACTCGGTGGATGGTTTGCTCAGTATCACATCAGACACCTTTACTTACCAGTACATTTCCTGTTACCCATTTCATATTGGGTCGACCTGGAAATCCAAGCTGATTATAAAAAACTTACCTCGGTGCGGATTCGAACCCAAGACCTCATTGTGGGCAGGCAAAAGTGAACAACTTCGGCTTCCTTATTGTCGTTCACGTCTTTTTCTTGCTTCTTGCCATGTATTTATTCCCGGTCAACACACATGTCAGGCACTCCAAGGGCCTGACAGCAATGTGATTTCTATCGGAGATACGGCAGTTAAGTATCTGTGTGTGTTAAGTTCCTGTTAGTACTTGTGGCACTGTAGAATTATGTAATTTGCTTGTGAAGACTTTCTAGCCGAAACTTTCACTTGTCGTTTGTGTTTACGATTTGATAAAGCTGACCAGTTCTACTTTTAGTTTAAACCTGATATCTTCGCATGCAACAAGACATGCCAACAAACGCATCATCAAACAGCCCAACTTACGTTTTCTTGTCACAGTACTTTGGAAACACCTGGGCCTCTGATGCCTTGGCAACTGCATCACCACAGCACTCCTTCAACATCTTATTCATCCCTTTGTCCTTGATTTCCTTCTTCCCTGCTTCCGTTAGGGTTTGTCCAACTGAAGATACTTCTACGTAGTGTTTGAAGGTGGCGGCAAGCTTAGCGTTTAAACTGTCAGCCATTGTCTGAAACAGAAAATAGACATCGGTACACACAGAGTTCTGGTGATGAGAACAAAAATTGAACCCTGGCCAAGAAACACTACATTGTAAACGGGCACAATGCAAATGCGTCACAGAACATTAAAAAAAAAAAAAACAATACCGAACGACTGAAGGATACAAAGCTCGGGAAGGGGGAGAGTTAGGATGAAAATAAGAGGAAAGGAAACATGAAGAGGAGGATAGTGTAAAAGTACGACGATGACAAAGGATGATGATACTGATGACAACGATGATGATGAAGACGATGATCGTAATGTTGTTGATGATGATGCTGATGGTGACGACAAAAATGAAGATGACGAAGACAACATCGACAATGACAACTGTAACAGCAAGTGTTAATTAACAATACAAACTACAACACCAGACATACAAGAATAGACAAGATGACTTATTAGTTGAAATCTTGCCATGAAAAATCACATTTCCCCGTGTACACCTGTTCAGAAATAATTTATTATCATCATATGACTGCATCACGTTAGAGTTGAGAGAATTTCATCTCGTAGACTCAACGCCTAAACTGAGATTTCAGTATGACTTCCCTCGCTTGGTTTGGGACAGTTTATACTGGGTGTGGTCGCCTACAGGTACGTACAAAATCCAGTTTACCGCCACATTACCTTTCTCAACGTTAAGATCGCACGCTTTGATCACTACCGTATGCCATATTTCGCGTCTGATATTCACATTTCCTGTTTCCGTGGCTGTTAAGTCTGCCCAGGTGATATTCTTCTGCGTGACCTTTCTGTCTACTCAGCCTTATCAAATATTCCAGGAAGCTTTCGGGTGAATTCCAGCAAGGTAAAATATGCGCTTGCAAACATCTTGTCTTAGCTATATCTTCTTCAACTTCTCGTTCACCGGCTGTAAACTCTAGGGGAAGGATCTAGAATTCTTTATTTTCTTTATTCGCCCCAAACATGGAGAATCTCGGAGTTTCCAGAAAAGTGAAATACTATTGGGGTGTTAGGGTTAAGATTAGTTGGTGTTCATTTCAAACCATAACACCCCTATAATATTGGACTTTCAGAGAAACTCCGGGATTCCCGTGTTTGGGGTGTATATAAAATTTAAAAAATAAAAAAAAACTGTTCTAGATGTTCCTCCACTTCTAAACTTGTTCTTGTTCCAGGACCCCGGTTTTCAGCGCACATCCGTTTTACCGATTTAGCTTATTTATTTGCAGACTGTTGGTTCCTTGCCTCTCAGGCAGATGCACTCCGACTTGGAAGAAAACATCTCTAATTAGTCCACTCTTGCGACATGCTTGTTAGGGGCAGTGCGACTATCTCTCTCTCTCTCTCTCTCTCTCTCTCTCTCTCTCTCTCTCTCTCTCTCTCTCTCTCTCTCTCTCTCTCTCTCTCTCTCTCTCTCTCTAACAATGGGTGCCCAGAACCGACAAGGAAAACCTAGGCTATATATCTTGGCTTGTTACATGCCCACACAAATGGTACGCTCGTAATATCATTAGCTCTTCTATGTAATGATGACACGAGATAAATTATTACACAATGCATGTGGTTAGTGTCGTCAAAAAAGTTTTAGTTTCTGAGATAAAGTTAGCGTAAAGTTATTAGATGATGCATGCGGTTAGTGTCGTCAAAAAAGTTTTAGTTTCTGAGATAAAGTTAGCGTAAAGTTATTAGATGATGCATGCGGTTAGTGTCGACAAAAAAGTTTTAGTTTCTGAGATAAAGTTGGCGTAAAGTTATTAGATGATGCATGCGGTTAGTGTCGACAAAAAAGTTTTAGCTTCTGAGATAAAGTTAGCGTAAAGTTATTTATCGATGCATGCGGTTAGTGTCGACAAAAAAGTTTTAGCTTCTGAGATAAAGTTAGCGTAAAGTTATTAGACGATGCATGTGGTTAGTGTCGTCAAAAAGATTTAGTTTTCCTAGACGAAAGTATCGTATGACTTGGGCAATCATAATAACAGTGGTTGGTTGGTTTGTACCTTTCCGTCTTTCCACACAATAGCGTGACATTATACTACAGGAAGAACAGCGAATCATGGCCCACGGCGATAGACATTCCAGCCTGCATTAGGTGAAGTCTTCTACAATAAGTGCATGGGATCGGTATCATCGCAAGATGTTTCTCCTCTCAAACTTTGAACTGTATTTACAATCCTATTCTATTTGTCCTTATTCCCTTCTGATTTTTCTTCTCCACACAACAGGACAAATGGCATTCTTTTCCCACTAATTCAGCTCAATGCCTGATTCATTCATATCCGGTTAGCATACGTCTTTGTATCGTATCTGAGACCAATTCCGGTATCAACCTGTACTTGATCACAGTGGGTGTCCTTATGGCAGAGCTCCCCAAACTGTTCGTGTGGTGGTACACTCGTTAGACAAACACCATTTTACGACACAGTAATTCAGTCTATTGGCAAACTAGTGGTTTACAAATTCCATACATTTGCCGATTATTCTGTTTAACGCTTTCGTTCGCCCGACACACTTTCTCACTGCAGCTGACACACTACTGTCTCGCGACACACATTTTGAAAAGCTCACCCTTAGGGACTCTCCCATAATTAAACAATTGCCTGGATAATAAAATAGGAACATTATAGGCAACTATAGGAAAGAAACATCGTTCTGTGGTCATGTGATGAGAAAGGAAGGAGTCGTTAGTTAGCTGGACGTTAGTCGAGGTTTTAACATCACAGCAGATGGATGCCCCTTATAACTGCTCCATTCCTGTGTCGGTGGAAAGCATACAAAATATCCTTCACTGTCCAATTTTAAACCTTGTTAAAAAGTAGTCAGTCTCAACAAATTCTGGAATCTTGTACACGCAAAGTCAAAATGCATAAGGCAGCTGTCAGATGTGCAGAAGGAAGGAGTGCGAAATATCTCGATCATAGGAGAAGTCAGAAGTCATTGAGACCCCCCCCCCCCCACCCCATCCCCGCCAAATGGTTAGGTGACTGACCCCTTCCTTTGCCCTAATTTTAGGGCAAAAAGGGCGAAACGGCCTCCGACAACCTGCTATACGTTCTTTTTTAATTTTTTTTTTTTTTTTTTGGAAATGCATTTCCCTTTATTCCAAATATATTATTATAATATGTATTTTGCATTGAGCATATTGTTATAATTAGTAATATTACCAACCTAAGCGGGAGCCGCCGTGATCTAGCGGCTAGACGCTCGCCTGTGGATCGGAAGGTCGTGGGTTCGGTTTCTGACGGCAGCCGGACTTTTTTCAAACATGACCCAGGCTCCCAGTCAACATCATGCAGGCCGCCTTTACTTCCCAGGACTTAACCTGGTACCCATTTAAAGCTGGGTCGACCTGGGAGCCTGGATCATGTTTGAAAAAAATCCAACATTGCAAATTTGAACACACCACCTTCGCATCCACACGCAAACGTCTAGCCACTGCACCTGGGCAGCCCCAGCGCCAGAAATAAATGAGGTGATCGTGAAATTTTCTGCACCCATCAACCACTTCCTGTCCGTCGCTAATGGAGGACTCATGTCACACGTAATATGATTTGTGGGTGCTGGCATATTTTATTTCTCTCTTTGTCTTTCCTATAATGGACTTAACTTCGTCTCTCTCTCTCTCTCTCTCTCTCTCTCTCTCTCTCTCTCTCTCTCTCTCTCTCTCTCTCTCTCTCTCTATCTCTCTCCCCCCCCCCTTTTTTTCTATATTTGATGAGGATCATTTCCTTTACCAACAGATGAAACAGGCGTTAAAAATAACACTCCCACAATTCCACAGTAACCTTGCTCACTGGCCTTCTGTGCAGCTCGTCCTAAATCGGCCTTCTGTGTAGGATCGATAGCGTTATGTTTTCCTATCTGAGATATCAAACCCACACTGATGCGATATGCCGTAATGTTATAAAATCCTACTTCACATGTGGCATAGACTTTGTATCGTTTTCATTATAAGATCAATCAACATTTTTTTTTTATTTCTTTAAATAATTTCCTTTGTTCGTTAGCAGAGCTGAATATCCGTCCTTTTTACCCTTGAGGTTTAAGATATGATTTGTCAATTTCCGGTATAAGATCCTGGGCTCATTTGTGAGGGGAAGATAATAGACGCATGCTCACTTACAAAAATGTAGTAAAAGTCGAGTAAGTTAGAAATCTGCTGAAATCGGTTCTATTGGGTATGGCGAAAGGCACAAATATCGCAGCCTACTTGTGAATCACAACGTCACAACGTACCGTGTCCTAACCCGCGCCTACCCTACACTGACAAGGATCTATAAACAGGGTGGCACTTTATGCCCACAAGACAGAAAGGCCTGGAAACGGATTCTTTAGTTTTTACTTATCTTAAACTCAAAACGCACAAGAAGCACACACACACAAAAGGACCATTTTTCATTTAATTTAATGTAGCGACTGCTTAGGTGGGTGGTGCATAGAAACGATAAACAAATTAAAGCAAACCCCAAAAATAGCATCAGCTATTTGTATGATATTTAGAAGACAAATGCAATTTCACTGCTTCAATGGTCAATTTAGATAGGTATTCAGCTTCAAATTGGACAATACTGAAGCGCATATAGACGACAACGGTGTGGAAAGAATGGCACATTGGGGAGTATCCGTTGAATAAATAAAACCAAATCTGACCGAGTTTTCACACTATATCAGCACCTGATCCTGTCAATTGTGGATTATGGCCTGGGACTGCTTACCGTCTCAAAGAGTCAGATGGACAAATTAGAGCGCATACAGAACGCGGCTTTGCGGGTCATTCTGAGTTGCACCAGAGACACCCCAGTGGTGTTTATGCGATACATCCTTGGTTTGCCAACGGTTGCAGGTATGCACAAGGTGCTGCAGGTGAAGTCAAATCTCAGATGGTACTCTGGGTACAGTTAAGGGTCAGCGGTTGATAAGAGGGAGGTCATGGATGGCTCAGGCAGAAGACACAATCAGATAGGTTTGCGTCCTTGAGAACATTAGGCGAGGAGAGGAATG